CCTCCTTTGCACTAGCTCCAATTGGTAAGTTGGTAAGTTTAAGTTTACAAATTTCAGCACAGTTTCAATCATTGCAAGCATGCCAACATGATTCACATCAATGATTTAAATTGTTCTAACATTTTACATTTGAGTTTTAAGGCAGAAACAACATCGTGCCATTGTTAGGGCACGAAGCTTTTGAAGCTTCAGATCTTACAATACAGGCATTGTTAGATCAAACTAACTGCACCATGGGATTCGCAGGGCCTTAATTAGTCAAATATGATCGTTTTCTTTTCTATTTTATTTGAATTGTACAAGTTTGATTTTCACATCACCAGAGGTGATGACCGGAACCACCATCCAAGATGGTTTGACCGGTGGGTGAATCTGCATGGCAGGCTGGAGCATTATGATTGGCTCATTAAAAACCCCAGGGCCCCACTTGGACGTGCGCTTTTTTATTGACTGATTTTTGGGAATTGATTTTATATTATATACATTTTTGGTTGATTGTATTACCGGATGTAAGGGCCGCCCCAGCGATAGGAGAGTGTGTTACTAAGGCGTTCATATATCAGGGCATGGGTTTGATCCCTGCCCCTGGTATTTTTATTTTTCATGTTTTCGTGTTTACAGATCCAGTGCAAAGTAGCCTAGCGCACTTGTCATGCGCCTCACTTCCTCACCACTTGATCATCCCAGGACTAGATCTAGCATCCCAGGCTTACACGCGCACCATGGAGTCCTTGGAACCAGCCATACATGATCATCCACCACATCTGGGCTGACATTATTTGGGTCTAACGAATCTGTTTCTCACACCCCTCAACTTGCTTCTTCAGGCCCATCTCCTCATTTTTATTATTATTTCATTTTAATTTCTTTTTAATAATTAACTTTTTTTAATTAATTAATTAAAACTAATTTAGATTTAGTTTAAATCAATTTGACTTTTTTTATTTAATTAAATCAAATTAAATTTTTATAAATTAATTAATTAAATCAATTAACTTAATTTCCTTTCATTATTAAACTTTTCTTCAATTAAAAATAACTTAGATTTTTATTAGGTTTTAATTCCCTTTTCTCAAAAATAAAAAATCAATTAATCATCGATTATTTTCCATCAAATAATATCCCCGTTTCTTCTTGCAATCTTCGCATTTCTCTTATTTTCGCATTAATTTTTTCATAATTATGTAACTGATAAAGGTTGTAATAGCTTAAACTAGGGTTTATTGTTTCTTCCCCCCATTTTTATGGTTTGTATCCCCTCTCCGAAGCATTGTAATAATGTAAGACATTTAATTTCTACCTCTACTATTTTCCTTATAACTGTCTAGTTTAATAGGATTGTATGGCAAGACATAAAAACAAACGCTAGAAAATATAATCTCAAGACAAATTAACTGAATCAAATCACTATTCATACACACACCTCTAGGGTGACTCCACTTGTTGCCTTCGGAAAATACAGTCATGTCCCTTGAACGTGGTACGCTTTAGTAAAGACCCTCGGTTAAAAGATCGTAGTGCCTCGATGACCCTTTGATGTTGCCTCGGTAAAAGATCTTAGTCCCTTACGATAAAATTGTTAAAGCGTCCTACAAGTTTCCTTTATGATTGTATGATGACCCGTGCCTGTCCCTCAAACATCCAACGATAGGGCTTCCTACTAGCTAATGTTAGGATAACACTATCTAAAGAAAGAGGAAAAGAACAAAAGACTTTTGAGTAGGTAGATAGTTCTTAATCGCTTGCTTCCGAACATTTCAAAACATTTTTCACACAAAGCACTTCTTTTCTGAAATATTTTCAAAACAAACACTTTGTATGCGTTCTCAATGATACAGAAATCATTACAAAGTTTGTCGAACTTAGGCATTTTTCAAAATATTTTCAAACTTACACATTCACAAAGCATTTTTCAAAGTGATCTGGCGATTAAGAGCCCGTAGATAACTACAGATGAAAAGGGTGCTAATATCTTCCCTTTTCATAACCTGCCCCCTTACTCAAAATTCTCAAAGGTCCTTCCTGTTCTTTTCACCCTTTCATTTGTTGGATAAAAGGAAAGTCGATGGCGACTCTTGCTATCCGCAATATTTGCAATAAAATGCAAAACCAAAAGTCAGCTCTCCCACCGTATTACAAGTGGGTAACCTATTTATAGTATGCATAGTTGTAGTAAAACTATAATCCCAATATGACAGAGGTATGGATGAATGAGAGAGCATAGTAAGTGTCATTTCAACAATATGCCCGTGTTTTCTCTCAACACTTCCATTTTGATGAGAAGTGTGAGGACAAGTAAGCTTATGATGTATATCTAACTCAACTAAGTACTAGGTAAGGGGTCTGTACTCACCACCAAAATCAGACTGAACAAACCTAATTGAGTTTGGACAAACTTATGAAACAATTTAAATGTCTGCAAAGCCTCAAATTTTTGTTTTAAGAGATATAACCAAGTGTACTTGGCGTACCCATCTACAAATTTTATATAGTATTTAAAGCTGGTACTAGAGGGAGAGGGTGAGGGACCCTACAACTACAAGTCAGTGTAAATCACATCAAAGGATCAATGATAGAAATTATTAGTTAATGGAGCATGAATTCTATGAGCTTTAACAACATTGTAAGGAGTACAAAAATAGGAATCTTGTTTATTAGGAGTATGAATATTACAATTTCAAAACATGAAATACAATTTTAAAGTTGGCATATCTAAGTCTATGGTGCCAAAGTATAATAGGATTACATTTAGTAGTACTATGAGACTCAGAGCTAGAAGCTACATAACCATGAATACCAGAAAAGAAAGGAAGAGTCTTATTCAAGCTGAATGGACTGATGAGATCCAAAGAATGCTGAGGAAAGTAGTACAAGCCATTTCCATCAATTGGGCCTTCAACCAAGACTTGCTTAGAAGCCTGGGATTTAATGTAACATTTATCAGGCAGAAATTCAAAGATAACATTATTATCATTAGAGAACTTAGACATATATAACAAATTTATGGTGATAGAAGGAACTAGAAGGACATCAAATAAACTAAATTTGAAATTAGGGCATGAGCTTAGAGTAGAAATGTATAGACCCTACAGCTTGAATGGTAAGAGTTTGACCATTGCCTATATAAACTCTATTAGATCCTGAATAAGGTTTATGATTTTGTAAAAGAGAAGCATAGGGAGTAAGGTGATGAGTGGCACCTGAGTCTGCAAACCATGATTGTGATGCCAGTTCAGTAGGTAAAGAATACTCCTAAGTATAGGCACCAGAATGCTTTGTTGTAGCCATCATAGCCATGGCTTGCTTGTTTTGAGCTTGATCCTGAGTTGCATTCTCACTAACAATGGCATATTTTGTTGTGTTTCTATGAGTATTGGAGGCCTCTGGTGGCGCAAAGTTCTCATCAAATCGATGCCAACAGGTGGCCACAGCATGTCCATATTTGCCACAAAGTTGGCATGTAGGGTAATTTCCAGTTGCTTGTTTTTCTCTACCACGAGCATGAGTGAGCCTGTTGCTTCTTCCTCAATTTCTTGAGTAAGCCCCTATAGAGCCATGACCTTCTTGATTTACATGAGCAATATTAGCAGCAATAGTAGTTACAACCAATTCTAGGCTAAATTTCTCCAACTGGGCTTCTTGAACATACAGTAACGCTTCAACATCACAAAGATTGAGAGGAACAAGACTACCATACATCTGCATTGCGAACGGATTGAACTCCTCTGGAAGTCCTTCAAGAATAAAATCGATCTGATCTTGTTCCGTTATCGAGTCCCCAACCGCGAGCAATGAATTTTCAATAGCTTTGATGCAGAGAACGTACTCAGTGATAATTTTATTGCCCTTCTTGGTGGATTTGAGCTCAACACGTAACTGTCGAACTCTCGCTTTCATTTGAGCATTGAAATACTGATGAATCTTGTCCCAAACCTCAAAAGTGTGCTTACATGCAAGAACCGTAGGTAGTGCTGATTCAGAAATTGTAGATAGTAACCAAATGAAAATAGCTTGATCTTGAACAATCCAAGCCTCATACTCATCAGAAATCATACCTTTAAGACGATGTTGCGCAGTTTTGAACTTCACCGGAATTTGCGGATTAACCACAAGGTTATGCATCTTCTGTGTCAGAATCACACCTTCAACTTGTTGATTCCAGAGCAAATAATTGTTTTCTTGAAGTTTAATCGATAGTTTGAGACCAAATCCATTGTTAGGTTTGGACGATGAGAAGACAGTAGTGATATCTTGTGTGTGTGGGGTACCTTTGATACCAGATTTTTTATTATCACCATACTCCATTGATGAACAATTTGAGCTTCAGAAGGATGAATTGGTGCGAATTAGAGGAAGACGAATAACAATTATGAGGGAAGCGTGGAAGATCACACCACGAATGATACCATATTAGAACTGAATTCTTATCATCATACCACATAGTAATCGAAACAAAGAAGAAAGAGTAGAGGTAGGAGATGAACCTCTATCTTAAAAGTTAGAAAAGTGTTATTACAATAAAAGTACAATATTACCATATATATATATATATATATATATATATATATATATATATATATATATATATATATATATATATATATATATATATATATATATATATATATTCAAGGTAGTTAAAACTACTTTTAACTGCCTAACACATTAAGCTAAAAGTTTGTTACGGCTTAACGAAAACTACAAGGACGAATCCAGGATAGACACGATGGCACTCTAAATTTTTTTATATTGTAATTCCAAAAGTAAGAAATTTCCTTATTAAGATAAAAAATGATGCAAAAACGTCGGGATGCGTTGACATTTTCATGACCAAAATAGGCGGAGAGTGAAATTAGAAGAAAAAAACGTTAGGGAAAAATGAAAATGATCAAGGAACATTATGATCCATAACAGAAATTGGATGAAGAAACAATAAAGTTTGGTCCTGAATTTTTATTAATAATAAATATGAATACACAGATGGATGATCAAGTTAATTAATGGAGAAATTGTGGAGCTTCTCGTCAAGATCCAATAGTAATATTGTTGGCAACGATAGGGTACAATGGGAGGAGGAGGAAGAAGAAAACGAAAAGGACAGTCTCCTTGAGCAATTAGATGATACAATCCATGTATCACGAGTTTTACAAGATGTGGATTGTTTTCTGAATAATTCTAGTCCTACGGATCAAGTTCCAAATTGTGTTGTCGACTTGCACAAATTGTTGGAGTGCATGATAGATAAATACAATAAACGAGGAAGAGGAACGGGAATTAGATTTGGGCGAGATCCACAGGATGACAAGTCTTTTCTAGATGCTGTGGAACGTATCTTGAAGCTTTCTATCACCTCCAATTTGAATCATCTCTATGTAGAAAAAGCAATGTTTATTTTAGAAAACGACATTTGTGCTCTTCTACAACGTCCCAAATCCTCCAAAACATACAGACCAACACCAACACCAACCCGGCAGCCTAGGAAATCCGCCTCCTCTGGTTCCCTTCAGCTACATTTTCAACTTCAAGACGAGAGGGATTCCTTAAGGCTTAACAATCAAGATGACGAAGATGACGACGACAATGGTGAATTATTGCCAAATTTCTCATTACAAGAAATTTCCATTATGAATAATATTACCACTTCCATGATTCGTGCAGGCTATCATATAGAGTGCTGCATGGCCTTTACCGTTTTCAGGAGAAACTCTTTCAAAAATGTGTTGTGGAAATTGGGTTACACTTTTCCAAGGATGGAGGAGGTTTATAAAATGCAATGGGAGTTGCTGGAAGGACAAATTGTGACATGGAACAAAGTGTTTCGTCATTGCACCAATGTACTCTTCAAGACCGAAAGAATGTTATACGATACAGTATTCTCCAACCAACTTTCTCTATCTCGGACCATGTTTGGTGATCTTGTTCGAATTGTCATCCTCCATTTTTTGAATTTTGCACAAGCAGTGGTTTTAACCAAGCCATCACCGGAGAAACTGTTCAAATTCCTCGACATGTACGAGACCTTGAGAGATGAACTGGAACCTATCATTGTACTCATGAAGGATGAGGACGGTTTAGAGCGATGTGCGGAGGATTTGACGTACGAGACATCCGCAACAAAGCATGGGATCATAAATGTTGTTGTAGCAATGTTCTATGATTTGGAAAACTCCATTAAGGGTGATAATCTGAGGATTCCTGTCCCATATGGTGCCATTCAACCATTGACTCGCTATGTCATGAATTATCTTAAATATGCATGTGAATACAAAGTGACGTTGGAGCAAATATTTTCCCAATATTCTACTCAACAAGAATTGGATAGGACGCCCGAGAAATCGCCTTTTGTGCTTCAATTGACGACAATAGTGGAACTTTTAGAAGAAAATACAGAAAGGAAGTCCAAGTTATATAAGGATATGGCTTTGCGTTGTGTATTTCTAATGAACAATGGGAGATACATAGTGCAGAAGATCAAAGGGTGTGCTGAACTTCACGAGTCCATGGGAGATAATTGGTGTAGGAGAAGGCAAACAAGCGTGAAGATGCACCATAAGAGTTATCAAAGAGAGACTTGGAGCAATGTGTTGCAGTGTTTTAACTCGGACGGGCTTCACCAACAAGGGAACAATAAGGTGTCTAAGCAGGTTCTAAGAGAGAGGTTTAAGTGCTTTAACTCCATGTTTGAAGAGATCCACAAGACACAAAGCAGTTGGATGGTGAGTGATGAACAACTTCAATCCGAGTTGAGGGTTTCAATATCTGCTGTCGTCATACCCGCCTATCGTTCCTTCATGGGAAGATTTAAACAACATTTAGAATCAGAAAGACATGTTGATAAGTATATTAAGTATCATCCTGACGACTTGGAAATTTTGATTGATGATTTTTTTGTAGGAAATGCCTCATCCATCACTCGAAGGAAGACATGAATGTCATAAATTTTTTACATAAGTCAAACATTTAACATTCCTCATGTCACAGTTCTTTCTTATTTGCTCATTTTTATTTTTCCACAATAAACCACAACTTTTTTAGCAATATTTTAGAGAGAACAACAATAAAAAAAAAACACAATTAATATTATATTTGAATTTTATCGTATGATAACTAATCTTACTGGAATCAGAAAGAGATGTTTGACCGTTCCAATTGTATCTTGGTTCAAGATGCTCTTCGGAGGGGGATTTACCTACAATGCACTCCGATGTTAAAGTCAGAAAGACTAAGAGGTAAGTGAGTATGAGAGTTGTGAATGGGATACTTGATTCTCCCGTATGGGAGAGTATTTATAGAGCCCCCAACATTGGGCCAATGGTCTCCATTATGGGCTGAATATTCAGACCTACAATGGATGGTTGTTAGGATTCTCACGTGAGCGAGGATGAGCAGCACATACTCATCATCCTAGGTCAATTGTCCCGAGCTTCCCAGATAGTGGACTGACCGCGCCGGTTATGAAGGGCGCAACGACTCCGAAGTATGCGGAACATTGTTGACGATGTGTCCTCGGGTGACAAGCACAGGAGAAATATGTCTGCAGATTAGGCCTTAACTGATTGGGCCATTATTTGGGTCTTCCTCGACGTAGGGGTAAGTTGGGTCCCGCACGACGTTTGGCCCAGTCCAGAACATGAGACCTCCAAGTCGTTGCTCCTAGACGAAGGAGTAATGACTTAGTGTCAGCCCGTGTGTCGAGGAGGATCAAGAGGATTCATGCAGGGCGAGCCTTCTGAAGGGTGAGAAAACACTTAAAAGGGGGGTTTGAATAAATTTTTCTTTTTCTTTTTCTTACTAGCTCAACAATAATGGAAAGACACGGTTAATTTTATCCTGGTTCGTTTGAACTCAAACTACTCCAGTCCACCCGCCAAGGTGATTTCGCCTTTCTCAACAAGGACTTAATTCACTATAATCAAACTGATTACAATCACACAACCAAACTGTTGTGACTAACAAAACAAAACACAAGTAAACTTACAAGTGACTAACACCACTAAGACTCAAACTAGTCCTAGCCTTCTTGAGAAATCTGACCAAACTTGGTCTCTTAAGGAACAAATACAAGAATTAAATCTTTACAATAGTGAAACAAATTGCTTCTTAGAAAGCTATATCACAAACTGTAATTTATCACTAAGATAAGTTTTGCACAAAGTGTTTGTAAGAAAATAATTTGTGAGCAGCAGAATATTTTTCACGTAGTTGGGTAGTTGGCTTGCAATAAATGATCTTCTATTTATAGCATGAAGAAAACGAACGTTGCTTCCTTCAAAAGTGAGGAGCAATTAATGTTTGCGTGTTTGCTTGCAATATTGCTTTTTCCAATGAACTAGCGTATAGACACTTGAGTGCTTATAGCCGTCTTTGTATTAAATGAACAAACGGCACTGTCAGAGCATGTTTCCTGAAACTTGACAAGACTTGTTAGCTTCTTTATTCTTTCAGAACTAACTTCACATCTTGCTTCAGAATGTGCTTGCAAATAACTTCTCATCAGAGCTTGCTTGCAAAATACTTCTGAACAGAGTTTGCATGGAAACTTTAGAAGATGCTTTAACTTGCTTCTTTTCAGAGTCAGCATCAAAACTTGCGCTAAATAAGTAGTTCTTTCATCAAAAAACTTCTTCAATTTTATTCAGCTCAGCACGTAAAAATGATTTTCACTCTAGAAAATACTTCAGTCAGAACATTATCTGAAACAAATAAATATGCTCATCAGAGTATCAATTATACAAAATATATTTTATTGTTATCATCAAAACTCTGAGATATGATCTGAGTCAATCTTGTTCTAACAATCTCCCCCTTTTTGATGATGACAAAAATATTCAGGTTTTGAGAAAAAAAATTGAACAAGAGATAAGAATCTCCCCCTGAAATAAATATTTCTTCTTCTAAAAAAAATAGATGTATAAGAAAAACTTCCTGAGAATTTTCTTCAGAGCATTGAGATTTTTCTTTTAGAATTTCTTCAGCAAGTCTTTTAAAGATAATGTTCAGATGATTAAACTTCCAGAATTTAGTGATACCTGCAAACTTCTTTAAACAGAGAAAGAAATCTTTGTATTTTGTTAGTAATGTTTGAGACTTAGTCCCATAACTGTTAATCAAAGATTAGATCAAAATACTCATTTTCTCCCCCTTTTTGTCATAATCAAAAGGTATAAATAGAATTAGAAGCATAAAACGTTTTTATAAAAAGATTCAGAGGTACAAAACAAAACAAAAAACTAGAAACAGAATGACACTTAAGATTTTCTAGAAACAAGAGACAAAAGAAGATTCTTGATCTCAGATGAAGATTCCTCTTGCTTCATCATCCAGTTTCTGATTTCCTTGTTTGTCTCATCCTGCTTGTCCAAGCGCTCATGAATAGCTTCATTTTCCTTCTTGAGCTCATTCAGAGTATCCATAATCAGTGAAGAAGGAGCAGAGGATGAAGTAGCTTCAGCAGATATAGCCTTTGGAGTAGATGCAACTGAGTTAGAACGAACAATATTTGAGAGAAGAGTGCTCAGATCAACCATAAGAGTTGGCACACCTTCTGGTGCAGCTTTAGCAGAAGGTTGATTAAACAAAGTTATTGCCAGAGGATTTGAATCTTCAGAGGCATCTTGAGACTCATCTTCTGAAATATCCATATGATCAGCAGGAGCATTGGCAATCAGCAGAGAAGACTTCTTGTCCCAAATATCAGCAGCTTCTGATTGGAAAGCATGCAGATGTTTGGAGAAATTCTCAAGCACTTGAGAATGACACAAGTCTTGCAGTTTCAGTGATTCAGCATCTAAAGTTCTTCTGAACGTTTCCCACTGAAGATCTGTTGTTGCTGGATTCACGTTGCTGGTCCAGTCTGCCTTCAGTAGGTCTATCCAAGCTTGTACTTCTGTTAAAAAAATTCTGAAAACATATATTTACATCTGGCTGGACAGGTTTGGGAACAGCCTTTTTGTAGGTTTTATTTTTCAGAAATTATAGGGATTCAAAATCAACTATAGTTTTCAGAAAGTCAGATGGTTCAGGAGTTTCTACTTGTTCAGGTGTTTCTGGTTGGTCAGGATTATCAGATGGTTCAGGTGTTGCTGATGGTTCAAGTGTTTCAGATGGTTCATGTGTTTCTGATGGTTCGTGAGATGATTGAGGGTATGTTCTGGAGATTGAGGATGTGAAAGTGTTGGTGAGTTAGGTGTTGGAAGTTCTGGAGATATGGGTGGTGTGACGTCAGGGGAAATGATGATGGTGTTTTCAGCAGTGGGGGTAGGATTTTGTGGTTAAGTTTTGTTCATATCAAAGATATTTTCAGAGGGTAGGGTGAAAGATGGCTTTTTCGTGGCCAGAGGTACGTTAAATCTAGGTATTCTCCACGAGCCAGCATCATACCATTCAGTAGGTCTTGGTGATAAAGGCCTGGGAGGTGTTTAAGAAAAGTTTTTAGGAGGGTTATTTTGAGAGATAGGTGTTTGAGGTGGTTGTGTTTGAGTTTCAAGAGAGTCGTCAGAATCAAAATCACTTATGTCTGATAAAGCTTGATCTATTAAAGGGTTTGTAGAAAGATGTTCAGAGGGAATGGTTAAATCTATGTCTACATCTATGTCACCTAATGTTTAAGGTCCAGCAGATGTAGATATATGTAAAGAATCATAAACAGGAATAGTCTCAGAAGATGTACCTGATGTCTTCTTCTTCTTCCGGGGTCTATCAGAGGGTCCTCCAACTGTTTTCCTTTTCATTGGCTGCTGGAAGACAACTTCTGGAGCTGCTTCATTTCTACCTTGAAGCCAGGCAGGATCAATTGGAGTTCCACTTTCTTTGCAAATTTGAATGTAATGCAGAATGATATGAGGGTGATCTCCTGAGTTGAAAAGTGGAAAGTCAGCAATTGGAATTCTTCTTCTGGTAACGGTTGCTGATACGTAAGGGGTAGGTTCCACCAGCAGTTTATCAATGATCTTTCTCTTCACCAGATTCTTTCATGTCAGAGCTTTCCCACACGTAGGCTCTAACTCCCCCAACAGGTTTGCTTCGTCCAAGTGTGCAATTAGACCATTCTCTGTCAGAATGTCTGAAATCAATCTTCCCATTGGAATCCAGTTCCTCTTGGATTTAGGGTTCTTCACTCTTTCTGCTTCCCTTGTTTCCTTGACATGTGTTTAGAGATGATCAAACAGAAGGTAGGGTAAATCAATCTTAACATTTGTTCCCAGACAGAACAAAAGGTATTGCTGGTCAGCATTTATATAGTCAGGAGAACTTGTTTCCTTTCTATGATGAATGCAGCCATGGACGATTCTAGCCCAGATCTTGTACTTATTCTTCAAGTCTCTGACTTTTGATGAAGATTGCCTAGTTGTAAAAATTTCAGCATGAACTCTTGACGTATCCATTCTGCCATTTGAGACTCCAGTGACTCCATTTCCTTCAAAACCCAGTAATTTTCTGATGAGATTTTCAGTTATTGAGATTTCCTTACCCATTACAAATGAGAGAATAACCTTTGGTGATGCGATGGCGTGTATCTAAAATTTCTTAACAAGGTGTGGAAAAAAAGGGCCAACAAGACAATCAAAGAAGTTTCCCCATCCTTGAAACTCCACAGCAGAAAGAAGGTCAAACCCATTTGCCTTTAGGTTTTCAAAATCCACCATCAATTCACTGATAACTTCTAAACTATCAACTGGAATAAGAGTGGTTCTCTCAGGGATGATGTACTGTTCAGTTTGGGTGTTTCCAGAACGAGTAGAGGATGAAGCCATTAGAGCACTTAGGTTGAAAGAAAAAATGGGTTGCAGAAAAAAAATACACAGAGACGGTTGAAATTTGAAAGAGAAGTTAAAAAGTGAGAAATGGGTTTTACAAAAGTATTTATATGTAAATTTTTTGAGAAAAAAAAAAGGTTTTAAAATAAAAATGTAAAAAGAATTTAAGAAAA